GGCTGGGGATTCGAACCCGCCACCTTGGGTGTACATGGCTGGCGCCTTAGCCACTTGAGCTACAGGCGCCGAGCCATCCATCTGTTTTCTTGTGCAAACTGTGATATGATCCTGACCAACCGCTCAGGACTCAGCACCACTAAGGCGCACTGGTACCACTACAGAGAGTTTCTTTTTAACAAGGGAGTTAACCTGCAGTAGGGTGAAGTTCAAGATCAGGTCATGCTTGCGGCCACCACGTGGCTCAGGATGTGAGCTGCAAAAACTCCAATAGCAAACTGGGATGGACCTATGAGCTGGAAAATAGCTAGCGTTGTAAGGAAGGCTGTGTGCGCCTGGACCATGCCCTGATGGAGAGAGTGAGGGCTTGAGGAGCATGTACCACCTGATAACTCTTGAAGAAAATGAGATAAAGCCTTCTTTTCCTAGTGATACCGGGAAAGTGACACCCCAGCCAGCTCAGCCAAGTGGGGGACCTGCCACTTCTGTCTTGGTGGCAGCAGCCGGCAAAAAAATCGGCAGGTTGCGGCAAGCAGGGGAGCTTTCTTCCCCCAGAGGCTCCAGTAGAGCAGTGCTGGAGGACCTGTCAATCAAGGGAAAACTGGTGCCCATCCCTGATTGGTCCATTTTCAATCCTGCTCCTGATTGGTCCATTTTATAGACCAATCGCAGCTAAGCTATTACACCTATATAAGACCCTGAGCAGAGAGCTTGGGGGCAGATTGTTGCAGACCTTTGAGGAAGATAGAGCAGAAGAATAAGACTTCAGCAGACCATTGCAGACCGTCCAGGAGAAGCGAAAGCTGTGGCACTTCTAGTGCTGATCCTGCTCTACAAAGAGGCTTGGCTGTAACACTTGAGCTGTAGCTGTAACACATCCGCTGCTGATCCTGCCTTACAAAGAGGCTCGGCCCTTTGCTGATCTCTGCCCTGCAAAGAGGCTTGGTCCTTTGTAAGAGCTGTAGCACATCTATCCTGCTCTACAAAGAGGCTTGGCTCTTTGTAAGAGTTGTTTTCATAAGAGTTGTAACACTTGCATCCTGCCCTGCAAGGAGGTTGGTTCTTTGAGCTATAAATAAAATCTCACTGTTCATTCTATGGTCTGTCAATTCATTCATCGAATCGTCGAGACCAAGAGCCTGGAAATCTAGTGTTAAAAATCCCGTATCACTAGGTCTCATCCACTGAAAACAAAACTCTATTCAAACACTGTCACCTTAGCACCAGAGTCAAAGTCATGAATTGCAGGACAAGAATTTGTGAGAATCTAAGATGGAATCTTTCTTAAAATTTTGTATTTTTCCATCCAACAGCAGTGTGTAGAGAGAATATACACAGATACTGATAATTTTTACCTGTGTTTATATCTTGAGGCAGAAGCGTCTATCTGCAGCTACGTGGTGGGGCTACCTAAGGAAAAACAGCTAAGCTGTTAAGAGTGGAAAGTGTGTTTTATGTGAATTTTGAAAGGAAAATATGTCAAGAGCGTGGTTTTTAAACCTGGGCTTCATTTTAAAACTTTTCTCTAAACCCAGTTATTTTAGTTGGTTTTCTGGCTTCAGAGAAGAGGCCTGATTCTGTGCCCAGCACTAATGGCTTAGTATCAGCCTGGCCTGTGCTGGCCAGTGCCCTGTATTGGAGAGGACAGGGGCCCAGAGCCGTTCTTCCTTTTTGGCCTTGACCCAAAGATGTCCCCGTTCCTGGTTATTTGTCACTGCAAGCTGGTGTTGATAGGAAGCTTCTTCTGAAGTGGGAAAGACTGCTTGGGTGTCTCCTTTCCATGTGACTGATTTAAGCATAGTGATATAAATAAAGTGATTGAAAAAACACTTAAATCCTTTTTTTACCTCTCATCCCATCTTTTGGCATTAAAAAATATAAGAATTTCTTTCATGTGCAGTTATTAGATTGAAAATCCAGATCTTATTATATTCTAAGTACATAAATTGTAAAAGCAAAATTAAAAAGAGCAAAACAACAGCAATATAATAATTCTACTCCCTCCATTTCATGCCCTTTGACATTAAATAGTAACAGTAATAAATAGTTATAAAATTATATTTCCAGTATAACTTGAAACTCTAGATGCCTAAGGAAAAAGTTAGAAAACTTTTTTATTTCATTATATTAACTCCAATTTCAAAAGGGCCTTTTTACTGTGGTGCTGGTGTCAGTGGACATCAGGGTTCCACCTGTAGGGGCGTACTCTGTTATGAAAGTGCCTTGGAAAATAAAAAGTGTGCTAAGCAAACACAGAGCACAGTGTCGTCCGTTGTTGCTTCTTTTAGAAGTATGGCTAAGGGTTTAATAGCACTAGATTAATATGTATGCAACAATAATGAAAGCCAGACACTTTAAGCTTTAAGAAAAATTCAGTTTATTCTTTGAGAATCAAGAAATTATTCTCTGAGCATCAGCTCCCACATCTGAAAAGTGAGGATAAAATAGTACTTACCTGCTTTATAAAGTTAAAATTAAAAGGGATAAATCACTGAGCACAGTGCCTAGTTTACAAAAAGCACTAAAACATGTCGACTAAAGTGTCCACAGTGGAAGGGCAGCTCTGAGTTCTACCGAGTCTAGTGTGAATAGTGTTAAAGACGCGTCTCTCATGGTCAAAACCAGCTCCGTCGACCTACCAGTTTGGCCATCTCGAGAATACTTTATTTACCCTCATTCCGTGTTTCATGTCCGTTCAGGGAATTAGCTAATCGTCAACCAGTACTTTGTTTTCACAAAGGAAGAAGAAGGTTCACAGCGCTGTTAAATCCCAAGTAGCTGCCAGGTGTTGAGTTTTAGAAAGGTCATCGTCAGAAACCAAAACTCAGAACGCCTGGACAGGCGCTCAGAGCAGGAGCGAAGGCGGGAAGGGCCGCGCCGCGGCAGCGCGAGGAGTCCCGGACTCTCCTGCGACCAGGGCGTGCGACCTTCCCGGGACCGGACCGTCGCCCTCGGGCCGAGCTGAGTCACGTGCCTGCAGGTGTAGGAGGCGGCGGCCCAGCGCCCTCCCCTCCCCCGCCGCGGGCTGCGTCCTCGCGGGGTTCTGCTCTCACCTGTTCCTCGGAGGGCGTCGCGGGCAGCAGGTGTCCCCGGGGAGCCCAGGGCGGGCAGCGCTCGGGTTACGGCTGGGCGGGCGGGCCGGAC